TCCGACTCAGCCCGACGCAGTACTCTCTTATCTGCTCTCTTAGCGTTACCGTTTCCCCGCATGGTGGTTATGTTGTTGTACTGAATAAACTGGCACACAATAACATTTATGTAATAAAGTTTTACTACGGCTTCATTGTTTGTATGACTTGGCCAAATCATTTTTTGGTACTTAATTACGAAACTTTCACCTCTAACCGATTCAGTTGCAACATTATAACATATACGAGCTGGCAGGTGTGAGTGTTTGTTACCGGAAATGTCCGTATTATTTGGCCTGCGACATAAGCGGTACTGTGTCTGTCAGACACCAAATCGAAAACACAGAACAAAAGACTTGTCGTATACTCCTCGACACTCGACTCACATTGTCGATGTGCCGAGTACATCAACAAAGACACCAAGAGTAACTTCTACTTGCAGTGCCGAGGTGGATGTCGACGCAATGAGTATCATGACGGAGTCGAGATTTGACATTACCTTTGCGTCGTATTTCACTCGGTCAGGATTGTTCCGGATGGCTCTGGATCGTATGGCTCGCTCCGGGAGCGTCACCCTTTACGCGGTAATATCTCCGGTGTGTACGACTAATAGTCATTAACTTAGGATTAACGTAAATATGTGATGGAAGAACTTTCACAACGATAAAACAACTTAAGTCTCACGAAAGAGTGGTTCTACAAATGTAAAGAACGCAGAAGCGGTAACATCCGCCGTCCCCCCTTCCCGTGAAGTCTCACGGCCGCAATTAGTTAATCTGTTACCCTCTTATTAAGTGCGCAAGGTCTTCAGCAACTAATAACGTAGACCTCCTTTTCCCGCGACTCACTCAAACAAAGTGTACGCGATCCGCGAACAAAGAGAGGTCCGAAGTCGTCTGTGCGCTCAGGAGTTTTTCCCTTTAATTTTGCTGAGATTCTTGAAGTCTATCGAAATAGACTTCTGTCTTGTTTAGTGTGAAAAGTGTTTGTTTGTTTTACAGAAAGAGTAGAGTTTCCGCTAAGAACCTCAATTTTATGGGGCCATAAAAACTGTGAAATAGTACCCGCTAGCCGGTACTACGCTAAGTGGAAACGCAACCAAAAACGGGGCGTGCACGGCGTGCTTAAACGGCGCTCTGCGCTGTAGTGGAAATGCGCCATAACAGAGCACTGAAGAGGCCAACTGTGTACAAACAGGTGCAAAAAAGAAGAGCAAATTGTTAAAAAACTGCCTTGCTAAAATGGATCTAAATTAGGATTTTTGATAGAATGATACAGCGTACCCACTTTATGTCTCTGAGTAGTCATTAATGATTACACACTACACAGTATATGCTATTAACGATAATCACGTCTCTGATTTCTTACACAAAGGACAAAAGGCTTGAAAGCATAGAACAAATCTAAATGGTTGTTAGGGTTTTGCCGAAGATATCAGGCCTCCTTTTTTTTGCAGGCTGTGCACATCTTCTGCCCACAGACTACACACACTACACGGCTGAGGCCTAACGAGTCTCCGGGGAATGGAACAGCTGCCCTTTAAGTGAAAAACTGACCAAGACTGAGCTGTCTGACGTTCTATAACCATTAACACCAGAGGTGTAACAAATAACTGAAGTTGGTTTACTACATGAAGGAAGTGAGAAGATCCACACGCACCTAGTACACTTTTCTTTTAAGAGGGTCTTTTTTTACACAGTAAGGTAAACAACCATGTACATAAAGCCCTGCACTTCAGTTTGTTAAAGGACTGAGCACATATTCTTTAGTGTTATTTATTCCTTTGACAGTTGTCTGTGCATTCAATAAAAATACACAGTTTTTCTCAGGGTAAAATATTTCGTATGTGCCTATCTTAGTCACCGATCACTGGAAAATGCTGTAAAGTATAAACATAAACAACACAAGCATTCTCAGGCTTTATAAAGAAGAAATATATCTGCAAAATGTCATATAATAACCTAGGTTTGCCTAACATTATAACAACATTTCCAAGAAACAAATAATATTGTAACGCATTGAAATCTGCAGATAATAATGTATACCTGGAATTTATGATCAAAATCTAAATAAAATCTATGTACAATTCTAAAATGTAAGACTATTATCTCATATTGGGGGACCACCAGATTTAGAAAATTATTTAATTGCTCTCCGCATAACTTTAAATAAAGTATATGTGTAGGAGCCATACGCAAGGTCTCTGTGTTATCTATTAAGTGGTGTTTTTCACTTATTATTGGAGGTTTGTGTGCACTGGAGCATGGGGCGGAGTTATTAGTGGTTTAACCAGAATGCACTTGCCTGCTCACTGGTGGTTTCCGATGGCAAGAGAGAGGGGGTGAGTCGGGAGGTGATATTGTCTGTTGACAGCTATTCTACCGCAACATTGATTGCAATTTCACCACAATCGCCATCACAATTGTCATCTCACTTTAACTGTTGACACTGTATTTTGGCCCTCGTTTATACAAATTGTCAAACCAAGAGAAGGAGTGGAGCACTTTAGTTTGAGCGCGTCAAAGTGTTCACTACCTGTATTTAGGCCTGCCTACAACCACAATAATATGTTTCTTTAAACTTAAAATATAGACTTTTTGTATAAATGACTCACCATCTTGCTGTTTGTAATGATGGGAGATTAAAAGATTTGTGGGCTTCTCCATCCCCATGTTGAGAAATTCCACCGACTGTTTCCCGTATTTGTGAATCTTGAAGACCTCGTGTTTTAATCCAGTTCCGTAGATGTAATCCTCAAATATATCAATTCTGTATGGTTGAGAAATTCCTGTAAATCAAGGCAGAGAAAGCGTATAACATCAAGTTACGATTTTAAAAACACTTGCAGCTTTAGGATAATGAATTTGTATCCAGTGGCTGATACAAGAAAGCATGTTTGGGCAAATTGTTCTTAACGCACGTTGTTTGGAAGCGTTATCTTTTGAGACACAAAAGCAATGCAACTTGCAATTATATGATAATTAAAGTAAAGGAAGGCAAAGAGCAGCATGAATAGTACGTGTTTGAAAGAACAAGTTGTGCTTTGTTTTCCAGCAGGGTGGTTGTTTACCGTGTCTTTCGCTGATTGTCACCAGAGGGTCCGAGCCATCCAATCTCATGCTTCCTATCTGTGATAGGTCGGGATCTGCCCAGTATAATCGCTGGTTGAAATAATCAATGGTGAGGCCTGTGGGAGGATGAAGGGAAAAGATTTTATTTACTTGACAAATTACACAGGGATCATCACTGAATCCCTCAATGCGGCAGACCTTCAGGTCAGAGTAGTTTCAGCAGATGAACAGAATGTGAAGACAAGGTATTTTCTTTGTTTCTATCTCTGGCTGTTTGCATCCCACATTCATTTAGCTTGTTTCCAAATAGCATAGTGGATCTTGGCTTGCTTACATTGCAATTTTCTAATCAGTGCCTCACTTTCACCTTCTCTCAAAAGTCCGACTGGATAATTGAGCACCTGGCTTGGGCGTTTAAATTGGTTTGCATTTTTTTTCCACAGATGATGAATTCCTTTTCCTGTTACTAAGACAGAGCGTGGGTCCCTTGAATTAAAGGAGGCCAAAGACGCTCTTCAGAACTAGATCAGCACTGAGTGTCTCCCTATAGACACACCAACACACTCTGAGTAGCTATAAGTATTCTTTCCTCCGGGCTTAACTCATGCATTGTATAGGTGGTACTTCTAAAAATATGAATATTCACCTTCAACCGTATGCGGGTCATAACAGACTGTATACTGAGGAACCTGATGACACTTCCTGTGGGTATCAATCTGGCACCATACCATACATCTAATGTAATTTAATGTGATATACAATTAACAAAGCAGGTTACATCTTTCTGTGGCATTTCTTTAATTGAAAGTGTGAACTAGCTCCAGTGTGTGTATAATTAGCTAATGAGCTTGTCAGACAATTTAATGTACAGTGCTTTTTGTGTATTCAGTGGATTGTAATAAATTACAGAGACGTGCAGTGCATCAAATGTGTCACACAGGTTAGCGCGGATTCATTACTTCCTCCTCTGGGCTTGTGAAGGGAAAAACGTCCTGGCTTTGAATAACAATGCTCTATTTTATTTATGGTATGGACATATGTGAATTATTCCAATGTGCACAGATGAAACATTTATATAAGGGGGCAATGGTGTTTTAAAGATGTAGATTTTTTTAGAGGTCAAAGAAAGTTAAACTGGAATATGCATGGAATCCAAGTAAAAATGTGTTGTTGAGGAGGGGTTCTTAGTAAATGGTAAATGGACTGTACTTATATAGCGCTTTATCTAGTCTTTAAGACCCCTCAAAGCGCTTTACATACTACATGTCATTCACCCATTCACACCCATTCATACAGAGCAGTGTACCTTACTCTAGGACCTAACATTCACACACATTCACACACCGTTGGCCATGCCATCGGGAGCAACTCAGGGTTAAGTATCTTGCCCAAGGATACATCGACATGTTGACTGCATGGGCTGGGATCGAACCCACAACCTTCTGGTTGAAAGACGACCACACTCCCTCACAGCCACAGTCGCCCTANTACAGGCATAACAAAATCTTGAAGCTGGGCGTGTCTGAGGCTTGGCGATTTCTCGCGCCCAAGGCGACCAACAACCAATCAGGAATCTCCCGCCCGCCCCCGGCATACAAAGCAAAAAAAAGCCTACTTCTTCTCCACTATTGCCAAAATGGATGCCGGTTTTGTAGCAAGGGTTACATTACTAGCTGTCCATTCAATGTTAAAACGAAGTTAACTGGATATAAACTCCCCAAACAGTTGAAAACATACCAGTTTCACCAACTGTCTCTGCCACCTCCTGCCATGCCTGGTTCCTCCGGTTTAGGTCCCGGTAGGTGAACAGAGTACAGTCATACAGGACTGGGACACTTGCCACGGCAATGATTAATTTATCCTCCATTTTATGACATATGGAAAATAGTCAAGACCTGCAGTATCAGCATACACGCGGTTTGATTGGCTAACGCTTGCACTGGCGAGAATTGCATAAACAGGATTTGATTGGCTGATGCAACTTTTGATTCCGATAGATGCTCGTGATGCTTGCAAAGCCATGCTCCCCACAATGCAGTTCGGCGAAGATTAAAAATCTTCTAAGTCACTCCATTCAAGTGAATGGGCGACGCTTTGAAAGATTTT